ATATATTTAGCAAAATGCCCCTCTCTACAGTTTATTTTTCTATCTGACTAATGAGTTTATGGTCACCGAATATGTATTTCTGAGGTAAATGTGACGTTACATTGTTTACTAGCTGATACATTGACGTCTTTGCGCTGCTGAAACACTGATTGAGCGATTACATGAGACAGTATACGGATTGTAAAGTTGTACTCTTTCTTTTAACTTGCCTTCGGATGTTTAGTCATGTTTATTTTGTGCTATAACTAGTATTAAATAAACCTAACAGAGCACTCAGATCATTAGGATCGAGTTAGAAATACCAAGGTTCACACAAAACAAGGGGAGTCCGCTTTTAGTTATTATTTTGGAATCAGCTTCCAGAAGAGATCAGATGTGCTAAAACATTAGCCACATTTAAATCCAGACTCAAAACTCATCGGTTTAGCTGTGCATTTAGTGAATGAGCACTGTGCCACATCCGAACTGGTTGCATTTTAAATCATTTTTTAAATCATTTTTACATTCCTTGTTTTTTGTTGTGATATTTTTATGATTATTTTGATCTCTAATTTATTTTATATGTAAAGCACTTTGAATTACCATTGTGTATGAAATGTGCTATATAAATAAACTTTGCCTTGCCTATAAATTAAAGCAATAAGCCCCAAGAAGCCGTGGTTTCCAGTGAATTTATAACAGCTAAGGGGCGTTGTTAGGTGCAATGCAATGCAAGGTTTCACAAAATAAAACAGAGCAAATAAAGTGTAATGATATTAATAAAAACAGTATTCTTCCACCAAACAATGTAGCTCCTCAGAAACAGTTGTGGTTGCTACAAAGTGGTTGCCGAGCAACACACAGAAGTAAACAAAGGTGTATGTTACTTTGTAGAGTCATTTACAACAGCTTTGAACGTGGCTCAGCCAATCAGAATCAAGGACCGGAACTATTCGTTTTATAAGTGTAAATTTCTGTCATGACGGTTCTTTTCCATAACACTGAATGTGGTAATAAAGAGTTGGTTATGCTTTGAATTTTGTCCATATGATGGCAAAATCACTTTGATCAAAATCAGCTTATGGGGCTGTCACGTGACGAACAAACGACTCGGGGAAAACCTGAAGACTCAAAACAGACTTCTAGCACAGAACCTATAGGATGTTGCGCATGTCACTGCCCGAGTCACATTAAAGATTGGTTCATGGTGTTGATGTTTTGGTGTGTGTAGAGCAGTAAGATGGGTGTGGAGGCCGTGGTGGCTCTGCTGGAGGCGACTCCGGAGACGTCTGCGTGTGTGATCGGTCTGTCTGGGAATCAGGCCATGCGTCTGCCGCTCATGGAGTGCGTGAACATGGTGAGTCACTCGCCAAACACCCCTGACCTTTGACCTCTGGACAGCGTCTGGCACAGAGAATCCAAATGTAACTTTGTGCTTCTGTGGTTTTGTTTTTGTAGACGAAAGAGGTTCAGAAAGCCATGAACGAGAAGAGGTTTGAAGAAGCCATTCAGCTGCGTGGAAAGTGAGTTTCGTTCATTCGTGTGTTCGTCTGTTAATGACTCAAAGAGATGGTTCACTGATTGTTACTTCGTTGCAGGAGTTTTGAGAACAACTGGAACACGTACAAGCTTTTAGCTCATCAGAAACCAGCTCTGTCTAAGGTAACAAACTCCATGACTTTGAGTTTTCAAACACCATATACTTTCTTTCTTTTTGCTTGTTTTTTTAAAGTGTCAACATTCAAAATCAACAAAAAATCATAATTGACGCCATTTACTTTCATAATAAATGTCATTGATCTTATTGTGCACATTATTCTAAAGAATTTAGTTACAAAATCAAATACTAAATCAAATTTAAATACGAAATCAAAACTTTATTTGTCTCTGAAAACAAATAATTTAATTTATATTTATTTTATTTATATTTTTTTGATGTGAATATATTTATATACACTAGCGGTCAAAAGTTTGGGATCAGTAAGACTTGTAATGTTTTTAAAGAAGTCTCTTCTGCTCATCAAGGCTGCATTTATTTGATCAAAAATACAGAAAAAAACTGTAATCTTGCAAAATGTTATTACAATATAAAATAATGGTTTCTATTTTAATATCCTTTAAAATATAATTTATTTCTGTGATCAAAGCTGAATTTCCATCATCATTACTCCAGTATAAAGTGTCACATGATCTTCAGAAATCATTCTAATATGCTGATTTATTATCAGAATTATCAACAGTTGTGCTGACAAATATCTTTTTTTGGGAAACTGATTCTTTTTCAGGATTCTTTGATGAATAAAAAGTTAAACAGAACAGCATTTATTCAAAATATAAATCTTTTCTAACAATATAAATACACTTTATACTGGAGTAATGCTGCTGAAAATTCAACTTTGATCACAGAAATACATTATAGTTTAACAGATATTCACATAGAAAAATGTTATTTTACATCATAATAATATTTCACAATATTACATTTTTTTCTGTATTTTTGATCA